CCCTGTGGTGTCAATCAACCAAGGAGGCGGGGCTTGCCCCGCCTGCCTCAGTCTCCCCATCTGCAGCCTGGGCACAAGGGCTCTGGCAGCGCGCCCGTGCGGTCCCTTTCTCTCTCCCTGCCCGCGCGCTCCTCTTTGCTCTCTTTTTTCTTCCTTTCTCTGTCAGGCAGTCCCTGCTGCCCCGCGCAGAGCAGGTTTGATCACAGGCTGCGGATCCGCGCGGGGCGACGCAGAGGGGCTGGAGACGGGCTCTTCTTTGCGGCGGCCTGTTCCACCTCGACGTCATCCGCTCCCGCTGTGACATCCCTGCGGCGCCCATGCCCCCACGGCCGGTCTCCCTGGCCCCGGTGCTGTCCCGCTCGCTGCTCGGGTGGCTTCGCGCAGCTCCCTCGTGCTGGGAACAACGTCCCCTTCAAGGCACAGCGACCCGGGAGCGCGCCGCTTCGGTCCGCTCGCTAGATATCGGTATAGCCCTCAGTGCCGGTGCAGGGAGCCCGTGGCAGGCTCTGCCCTGGGGCAGAAGCTACAGGGCATGTTTCTGCTTGCGTCTGTGCAGGGCATTGGGCAAAGGGGTCGTTGCGGGGTGTTGTGCCCGGGCTGCTGCCTCCCAGCCCGCCCAGACCCTCCCCGCAAGGGGCAAACCCAGGTGGCCGTGCTCAGGGCAGGGACAAAGGGCCAGGGCTCCGGCTGGGGGGTCTAAGCTTCCTCGTGACCCTAACCCTGCAGGCCTCGCTGGGTCATGGGTCGTACATGCTGCTCGCACGGAAGTCGAGTAAAGCACTGGCCAGGTTCGGCCGACCAGCCACCCTGGCTGACTCCTGCACCCCCCTGCAAACACAACCGGCTGGTTGGCCAGGTGAGCACCCCTGCGAGCGACGGCGCGAGGTAGGATCGTCCGGCCGCAGGATGATAAGGCTGAAACGGGAACGCGCAGGTCAGGATGTGAAACAAGCCCACGGCACGGGACGTGCGAGACGTCCGGGATGCGGAGGGAACGCAACACCTCATTTGTTTTGATCCCTGTATAGAAGGAGAACTGGAAAGCAGCGGGATTTCATCGTGGCCTGGGCAGCCGGCGTGGTGTTGCACCAACGACCTTGTCGCACCTGAGCTCCTGGTATGATGTGTGTGTTTGGCCCAGACGTGTCAGGCCATGCTTGTAGACTTTGCCACCAAACCGAGCCTTTACCTCGGTGGTCGTCTTGAGTGCGGTGCCAGCACCGCAGCTCCTGAGACTTCAGCAGTGACAAGACGTGGATGACACCCGACGAGGACACAGCAACGACACCGACAGCCCAGCGCATCACAGGAATCGCAGAGGAATCGGGCTGGCAGACACCCGCAGTCACATCTCCGCCACCTTGAGCGCATGGCATGTGCCTCAGGATGTGCATGTGAAGTCTGTGCACACGCCTGGGCCCCACAGCTCCCCTGCCCGCCCCACGCCACCGTGCAGTCCCCTGCTGCACCATCCCAGAGCACCCAGGCCCATGGGGGTCTGAGCCCCCCAACCCCCCGGGCCCACTTGCTCTTGGATCTGCAGCCAAGGCAAGGACCCCGGCACGGGCTTCATCTGGGTGCCCTGACGTGAAAGGGAGGTAAGTCAGTGTGGAGCAATGGGGCAGGGAACGTGCCTGTGCCTGCGTCAGCACGCGTGTGGCTGCGTGCTGGGGGGTTCAGGGGCTGCCTGCTTTTCCAAGGGGGTCTCCAGGGTGCAGCTTAAAGCCGACTGGAAGGGACGAGGCTCCCACCGCACCCCCCAGCCCCCATGGCCAATCAGGGCCACCCACCCAGGGGCCCCCCAAGCCAGCTCTAGGATCAGGCCCTCGAGGAGGACATTGGGTCTGCCCAGGGGATGCACCTGGGGCAGGGAAAGGAGCCTTTGGCTACATGGACCTGCACAGACGTGCCAGACACGGTACCGGTGCAGCCTGCTTGGCTGGGGGTGGAGGGGCAGGAACCGGGGCTGGCACCACGGCTCTGTGCAGGGCCCCTCTGTGCCTCCAGCCTGGGGAGCCCCAGCCCCGGTGCTGCCGGGGGAGGACGGCAGGCAGCACTGGGGCAGCTCAGGGTGACAGGCTGGGGGAAGGACACAGGCTGTGCTGGAGCTGGGCAGGGCGGGGGGAGCTCCCAGCCACGGTAGGCATCACCCGACCCCGCTGCAAGGTGAAGCTGACCCTGTGGGGGGGCAGCCAGAGGGTCCCTGCTGCACCCCCCACTCTCAGACCCTTGTGGGGTGCTCCCCATGCCTCCTGACCCCCAACCCACAGCCAGGCCGCCCCAGGACCAACCAGAGCCCCTCCGGCGGTCTCCCCTACCCCTCCTTCAGCGCCACTCCTCGGGTCCTAAACCCCCTTGGCTATTGTTAACAAGAAAGGGACATGCCAGCGCTGTGAGGCAGAGGGGTCCTCAGCAGGGGCAGGAGGAGCTGGAAGAAAAAGGTGCTTAAGAGGGGCCGTGGCAGCAGTCTGCAGATCCCTGGTCCGAGGTCGCACACGGGGTTTGTCTGGACAAGGCTCACCCTGCCTTGGGCAGGGCGTCGGGCTGGATGTGACCCCGCAGCTCCCTGCCAGCCCCCCAGCTCTGGGACTACACATGCAGCGCTGGGTGCCTAGGGGAACAGGAGCGAGGCCAGGCCACGCGCCGCAAGGTGCCAGCCAAGGTTTATTGGTGTATTACCCCTTGGGCGCCCTCGTCTTGCGAGGGCACAGATGCCAGCATCAGCGCGTGCTACTGCGAAGCTCCTCACGGCGAGGCCCAGCCCCTGGGCTCCGGTGCCCGGCTGGCACAGCCTTGCGCCCGGGTGGTCAGCGTCTCGCTGGGAACGGCAGCTGCCCCCTGCTACCTCTGCCTGGGGCCGGCAGGGCACGGGGCAGGGGGACGCCTGGAGCCAGGCGGCACCGCGAGGAGGAAGAAGTCGCTAGACTAGAAGCCACCAGGAGCCCCCGGCGCCCGCCCCGGTCCGGCCGGGTCTCAGTCCTCCCGTGCCTGGCGCTGCTCGCGCAGTTTGCGGAGCCGCAGCTGGCGCAGCCGCAGCTGCAAGTCCTTGGGGATCTTGCCGCCCTTGGCCAGGATCTCACGCAGCCGCTGCTTGGGCGTCTTGGTGAGGTGGAAGTTGCACAGCGTGGGCCAGTCCTCGTAGGTGACGCGGCATGACCGGGTGGCCGCGTGGTAGCCCTCGGCCGTGGCGGTCACCTCGTACTCCCCCGGGGTCAGCAGGCGCCAGTAGTCCCCGTCGAAGGCTGCGGAGGGGACCGGGGGGTCAGGGAGAATGGGGGGCTCCCAGGGGGCAGAGGCCCCCCTCCCAGGCTGGAGCAGGCTGGTCCCTGCCCCCTTCTCGCGCACGTGTCGCAGCCGCCCCGTGCCCCCGTCCCGGCTGCTCAGACCCGACCTGGGGCTGCTTCTCTCCCTGCAGGTCCCCGGTCACCTCGTGTCTGCCCTGTGGCCTCAGGGCTGTGGCAGCACCGGCCACGGGGGCTAAGCCCGGCCCGGCTCTGGCTGCCCCTGTCCCAGGCACCACGAAACACGGACCCCAGGTTCTTGCCGCACCTGTTCTGATGTCGTGGTTGACGCCATCCACGGAAATGATGGCGTCGGCAATGCCATCCTCTGTGTCCTTGTCTCGGACGACCCCCTTAATGCCCCGGTGCACCTGTGGAAGCCCCATGCGAGAGGACCCATTAGGGGGAGAGTCGCTGCTCTGGGCTCAGGGGGCAATGCACCCCACGGCCCCGCACGACACTGCACGCACCTTGTGCCACATGCTATGCACACAGACTCGGCAGCTGGCACATGCAAGGCACCCCATGTGGGCAGCAGATGCATGGTGGGCACATGCACCACATGACATGCCACATGGACAGCAAGCATGCAGCCCATGTGTGCCTAGTGCATGCAGCAGGGTTGTAGCCAACAGGCAGCAGCACATGCATGCAATGCATACACACACATGCCAGCCACGCACACGTGTGCACATGCATGCCCCCAGGTCGTGTGTCTGAAGCTGGGTATGAGACCCCAGAAGTGAGGGGGAGGCTGAGCGGGGTCAGAGAGCAGCCTGGGGACCTGGAGAGGCTGGGGACAACCCCGGCTGCAGCCACGGGCCCCTGCATCCTGTCATGCCCGCGCTGCGCAGCAGGGGGTGCTTGGAGCCGGGGCACCGGGACTCCTGGGTTCCTTGCCCTAGGGGCATCCTCCAGGCCTCCCACTTCGTGGAGCGCGTTAACCCCCCCTGCTTCTGGGTGCCCCCAGCCCCTGCCCGGGTCTCACCTGCTCCATGTAGAGCAGCAGCGACTCCTTGTTGTTGTCCCACTCGGCCGGCAGCTCCGACGCGTGCGGGAACTTGTCGCACGACAGCTCCACCGTGATCTCGAAGCAGTTGGTGTGCAGGTAGCTGAAGTCATTCATGCCTGGAGGGAAGGGTCCGGCTCAGGGCTGTGGTTGGGGCTGACGAGGGCATGGGGGCCAGGCCCCGGCCCCAGGGCTGCTATAACAGGTCTGGTGGGACTCATAGACATCCCAGAGCTGTGGGGCTGGTGGGGTCACATCCAGTCCAAGCTCTGCCTGAGGCAGGATCAACCCCGTCCAACTAGCCCGGACAAACCCTGTGTCCGACCCCTCAGCCCCTGACACAGCCCCAGGCATCACCCCGGCCCCCAGGATGCAGGGGGGCCGCGGCTGCCAACGTCCTGCTGCTACCGGGGGGGGTCATGGACACTGCAGAGAGCCCAGGCTGAGGCCATGCCCCACTGCAGAGGAAGGCAAACCCCCCAGTGCGACCAGTCTGAGCAGGGGGGAAACCCCTTCCTGCCCCAGTGCAGTGTGGGGCTGTGCTGGAGCGCGGGGGCAAGACCCTCCACCAGGACCCTGCGGGGTCGGTGCAGCAGGCAGCAAAGACCCCAGAGATGCCATAGCAAGTCCTGCCCGAGCACAATGGGGCAGGGACACAGCTCTTCCCCGTCCCCTCCTATCTGCCCCAGCCCAGCCCCGGCGTCTCCCCACCCCATGCGCGTGGCCGGTACGTACTGCCGGGCACGGTGTGCCAGTTGGCGCCATTGATGATGTTGCCGGCGCGGGCGAAGTCGTCGTAGTGGCAGATGCGGCGCTCGTCCTGCGCCATGACCAGGTTGGAGCTGGCGTAGACGGTGGCCAGCCAGCGGAAGACGGGGTCGTCGGCCGTGGGCGTCAGCTCCTGCGCCTTCCAGTAGGTTCGGGTCATGTCGAAGGGGTAGGTCACCACCAGCTCGCCGCCATGCAGGTTGGCGCTGAGCACGAAGGCGTAGCGCTGCATCCACTCGATCACCGCCCGCGTCTCCGGTGCCACCTGCATGGCATGGGCCGGGCATTGGCGCAAACGGCCTCTGCACAGCCCCCGTGCCCGGGGCGGGCAGCCGCGGGACCCGGCTCTCCCTGCTGGGTCCCGCTGGGCTCTGGACTCCCCCAGGCACATAAGCCCCACCGTAAGCTCCGTGCAAGGCTGGAGGGCACGGCCCTGGGTGCGGGGGGCTCACCGTGGCATTGGGGAGGGTGTAGTACTCCGGGATGGGGATGTAGTGGTTGGGGAACTTGTGCGGCACCAGCTCGTTGTCCTCGGCGTCCCACAGTGCGGTGTTGAGGTCGGCGAAGTTGTGGTTGAGGTCGATACCCTCGTAGGTCCAGCGGCCCATGGCCCAGCCTGCCAGCTCCGAGCCCTGCGCCAGCGCTGGCATCACAGCCCAGCCCACGGCAGCGTCCCCGGCTCTGCCCGTGTCCCCGGCCCATGACACCTCCCTGGGGTTGACGTGGTGCCGAGCCCCTCACCACCCAGCCACGATCCCAGAACAGCCCCCGTGGCGTAAACCACATCTGGAAGGTGCCACAGAGCTGGCGGCACTGGCCACAGCACGGGGGCTGAGAGCTGTGGCGCCATGCTGGGGCCCCGTACTTTGCCCTACCAGCTTGTAGGCGGTCTCGTATCCGTCGGGGTTCATGGAGGGCAGCAGGTGGATGCGGGTCTCAGTCACCAGGCGCACGACACGGGGGTTGCCCAGCGAGAACTCGCGGCACAGGTACTCCATGAGGTTGAGCAGCAGCTCGCGGCCCAGCGCCTCGTTCCCGTGCATGCCGGCCACGTAGCGAAACTCCGGCTCCCCTGCGCGGCACCACCACCAGCTGCTGCAGCCCGCCGCACCCCAGGCCGGAGCACTGGGACCGGGCGTTGCGAGGCCAGGTAGGGGAGCCCACTGCCCCGGGGCCCCTGCTCCATCCCACCACGCCCTGCCCCCAGGCCAGAGTGCTGGGACCCGGTGCCACGAGGCCATCACTGGCCACCACATCAGTCTTGCTAGAAACAGGGTCCTGGGTCTTGGGGGAGCCCATGATAGACCCCCCTCCCCCAGCTTCTCCAGACCAGACCCCGAGACACAGCCAACACGTAGGGTCCGTGCACCGGGTGTCTCTGACCCCGCTGCCCGGCTCGGGGGGCACCCATCGGGCACTCACCCACTTCGTGCTGCCCGGGGTTGTCCGAGATCTCCATGACGCACAGCTTCAGGCCCAGGTAGCTCTTCCCGATGCTGTAGATCCGGGTGATGTTGGGGCAGGCATCGTGCACCTTCTTCATCAGCTGCGGAGGGTGACGGGCAGTGCTAGAGCCCCCCCGGGATGCCAGGGCTCCTTTCCCAGCACCCGCCTCCCTTCACCCTCCTGCCACGCGGGGGCCGGGAGAGCCCCAGCTTCCCCTGCACCCCGGCGGGGCACGCACCTTCCTCATCTCCTTGTAGTTGTGGTGCCGGAAGTCCAGCGGGTCGGTGGGCACTGGGGGGCTCTCCCAGTAGATGTTATTGGGGTCTGTGGGGGAAGAGGGTCAGGGCCGGCTGTGGGCTCCAGCACTGGGGGGTAGGGCAACGCGAGCCCCCTGCGCGGAGCCCGAGGTGCTGTGGATGCTGGAGCCGTGGCTGTTGCCCGCAGGACACGGGAGCTGAGGCCCTGGGGTCGGGAGGGGGGTCCCTGGAGGGTGCCAGGGTCTCTGTGGGGACGGGTCTGGGGGTCACACCTGGCAGGGGGCAGCCCAGGATCTCGGCGCGCAGGCAGACGGTGCCGTTGGGGCACCAGCTCTGGGGGTTGATGCGCACATAGCGCGCCGCCGTGGGGCAGGGCAGCGTGTTCAGCACCGGCGTCTCCGGGTCCTTGTTGGCTGCGAACACCTGGGCTCGAGGGAAAAGGGGGCTTGGGAGCCACAGGCCTTTCCACTGGGGGCCATCCCCCACCCCCTGGGCTATGCGCTTCTCGCACTCAGAGCCCCAGGGCCACGGAGGCACCCGGCCTCCTGGGACCCATGCTCCCGTGACACACGCCATGTCACGTGGGGCAGCGTGTGCCTGGGACCCAAAGGGTTACACCTGCTCGGCCTCCCCCTCCGGCCCTGGCTCCGGCACAGCTCTAATGAGAACCAGGCCAGTGCCGGGTGCGAGGCAGGGCTGGGGGGGCAGGCCTGGCGGGGGGGGCCTGGATCACGGCCTGGTATCGGGGCCAGGGGAGCTCCTGGGGGATGGGGTGGGATGGGAGCATGGCCTGGCCTCCCACATGGGGCCTGGCCCCCTTCCCCCTTCCAGCTGGTGCCGAGTTTGCTTCCAAAAAGATTAGGCAGGGAGGTGGAGAGGGGGCAGGGCAGAGCCAAGCCAAGAGCTCGGCACACGCCTGTGCAGATGCACATGCACATGCATGTGCACATGTGTATACTCTGAGTGCATGCACACCACATGCCCCTGCACATGTAGGGGCTTTAAGAGCCCATGGGCAATGCATGCAAACACGCTGTACACACACTCAGAGCATACCATGGCCCCCTGCGGCGGGTCTCCCTGCCTTCAGGGTGTCCCTGGCCCCAGTGTTGTGCCTGCATGGGCACTGCACACACATGCATGGGCACACACACACTACATGCACCCTTTTGCACATGCACATACACGTGCACACACGTGCACATACGCAGTGTGCACCCTACTGCATGTGTGCACACAGTCTGCACAAGCGCATGCCTGCACACACATTCAAGGCACCCTCCACTTTGGTACATGTGTGCACACGCAAAGCACACCCACCCATATGCATGCACATGCACACACTTGCAGAACAGATGTGTGCATGCACAAGCACCGCATATGCATGAAGAATGAGCACTGGGCAATGTGCATCCATTTGCACACTGTATGTACATATGTGCAACTGCAGGCACAAACACGCCTGCAATGAACTGCACACCAACACGGACATGCACGGGCCAGCTCTCCTTGTCCCCTGAGCTGCGTGCACTTGTGTCACGCTGCTGGGGGCTGCAAGGTTTCACACACACACACGTGTCCATGAAGCCACCTCCACCCCGCCCAGCATGTGCATGCCTCTACACACACTCCCGGCCAGGAGCCTGCAAGCACAGCCCATGTCACACACATGCATGCACCGCCTCTGTGCACGTTACACATGCACACCCCATGCAGGCACATGCTCACATACATGTGCAACCCCCTCGTCATTGCATGCAGACACAAGTGTGCAAGCACACGAACATGCACATGTGTGTGCTTCTGCCGTGTGTGGCGTGGAGGAAGCCACGTGAGATGCTGAGCTGGCCTCTGGCTCCCCTCCCTGGCTCCGGGGCCCGGGGAAGGGGGAGGGGGCAAGGACAAGTGGTCTTTGTCAGGCCGGGGGCCCAGCTGATGCCAAAAGCAACAGGGGGGGACTGGAGGGGGAGCACACGCCCCATTAACCCTGCGGAGACCAGCCTGGGAGCCCGGCAAAGCCTGAGCACTGTCTCAGCTCCGAGCGAGCTGCTGTCCCAGCCCCAGTCCTTTGTGCCTCAGTTTCCCCGTCCAGCCCTGGCCCCCAGTGCCCTCACTCACCACCTCCTCAGTGCCATTACGGCACGGCTTCCACGTGTGCGTGTCGTTGCTGAACTGGACCTTGTAGGAGGTCACCCAGTCGTACCTAAGGGGGGTTATGGGGGGGCTCTCCAGTACTGGGACTGGTTATGACCCTGGTCCCCCTTCCACAGGCCGCCCCGTGGGAGCTGCTACAGCCGGGAGAGAGCCCGGAGCTCCCAGTGCCAACCCTGCTGCCCACTTACGTCCAGATGGAGTTGAGGCCCTGGGTGATGACGCCGGTGAAGAGGGTGAGCCGCCGTGCGTCCACCTCCAGCCACTGGCTCCTGGCCTCCTGCCCCGCGCACCAGCCCCCGTCGTAGAAGTCCCCGTCGTAGAGCCCTGACTGCACGGCACAGAGGCACGTCAGAGCCATGGGCTCCCCGCACACCTCCGGGACCCGGCACCCGGCCAGATGCATGGCAGGGGGCAGCCCCAGGCCCCCTGTCCCGGTCCCCGCACCTGGATGTTGAGGCGTCCGCGATGGGCTGCCAGGCCGTAGCGCTTGTCACTGGAGGCGCGCAGCTGGGAGTCCAGCACCCGCAGCGACTCCAGCCCCAGCGGTGGGCACTCTGCGGGGGAGAGATGGCATCAGCCCCTGCTCCCTGCAGGATGCCGGGCCGGATTGGGGGGTGACACCCTCCCTCCTGCCCTGAGTCCTGCAGCTCTTAGCCCTACGACCTGTCCCTGTGAACTTGGCCCCAGAGATGCCCCATGGATGATGTTTCTCAGCCCCCAAGGTAGCTCCGATGGGACTGGCCGCAGTGGCTTGAGCTGGAGCTAGGCTCTAGGGCTCCCAGTTCCCCATCCTGGCGCTCATTCCCTGCAGGTACTTGCTGGCCTGGGCTCTCATGATGGAGCCACATCCCCCCAAGCCGCAGCCCCAGGGCCGGAGTGGGGGCAGCACCACAGCCAAGTGCAAAGATGCCCGGGGGAAAGGCTGAGTGTTGGCCATGGACCCTCCGGGGGCTCGTGTCCCGTGCGGCTGAGGGGGCGTCTGGCTAGAGCCCAGGGCAGGGCAAGCACGCACCCACCTGCACATCAAGCCCACGGCTCTAATGCCCACACCCATCTTCCTCCCCGCCCAGGAGGGAGCAACTCGGAGCGGGCTCTGGGTGGCATCTAGCCAGACCCCTGTGCCCCAGGGCGAGGGCAACGCGTGCCAGGATCCGGAGCGCGTGGTGCAGACACGAGGCACTTGGGCCCTGCCGCAGGGGCCGCGGAAACCGCAGCCATGTCCCGTGGGCAGTGATGCCAGGAGCCTTCGCCTGGCTCAGTGCCCGCCAGCGCTGCCTCCTGCACCCCACAAAACCTCCCGGCCCAGCCTGCACCACGGTCGGGGGCTCTGCTGCCCTGCGCCCCCCACCCCTGTCCCTGCAGCCCCCGCACGGAGCTCCCCCCGCCAGCCCCGCGGCCCCGGCCGACATTCCAGCGGTGCTGGAGCAGGGCAGGAAACGCAGCAACCTCGAAAGCCCCAGAAAAAATAACAGTGCAGCTGTCCAAAATCAGCCCGCAGAGCTGTGGGGGAGGGGGGGCTGGCACCGCCGGGGTCTTTGTGGGGAGGCAGCAGAGGCAGCGTACAGCTGGGGCGTGTGCACGGGGCTGTGTGCAAGGCCCGCATGCAGGGAGGTATGGGGGAAGCATCAGGGCTTGGGTATGTGTGGGGCGTGCGCACACATCAGGGCACAGGGGCAATGCGTGTACCTTGGGGGGCACGTGGATGTGAAGTCTGTGCATATGCCATGGGCTGTGGGGGTGTGGACACATGACTATGCATATGGGGCCATGTGAGCATGCCAGTGCCATGCCCAGGCATGGGGGGTGACTGTGGGCACATGTGCTGGTCTGTGCCGGGTGGCGGGCAGGGTATGTTGGTGCAGGGAGGTATCTATCCATGCACGTGGGTGCAAGGGTATGTGTGAGTGAGTATGCGTGTGTGTGGATATAGAAATAAATGCATGTATGTAGGTGTGCTTGTATGGATGCATATGCACAGGCATATATACTCATGGACGTGCATATACATACACGCCTGTATGTGAAATGTGCCTGTATGTGTGCATTGTGCACAGGCACGTGGGTGTGCGCTGGTAGGCGTGTATGTGCAAGTGGCCATGCGTGGGCCAATGCCCGTGTACGCGGGCATATACCCTGCGTGAGCTGAGGTACGTACGTGGCTCCTGCTTGGAGGCCTCCTCCTTGGCCCCGGCCTTGGGCTTCTTCTTCAGGACCTTCTTCTTGACGACTTTCACCCGCACGACCTTCCTCGCGCCGTCCCCGGCTGCGGGAGGCAGAGCGGGCGCCCGTCACCCGTGCCTGGGCAGGGGCCTGGCACGGAGCAGCGGTGCGGGGCCGGGGATGGGGACCCTGGTCTCCCCTGAGCTGCCGAGGCCCCGGCCCGCACACACCCTGCGAGCCCCCCTGGCACGCGACTGCAGCCCCCGCCGGCATCGGTCAGCCCGACCTCCCGCACTGGAGACTCCCCACCGGGGTGTCAATACAGGGGCTGGGACAGCGGCAGGGGCAGACCCCTCCCCGCCCCCCGAGCCCCGG